GGTACGAGTTTTTAATTTCAAGTATATTTTGAATACAGTTGTTATGTGCAAAATTCAAATTATGTGTGGTACAATGCACATACTCAGCATTTTTTTGATATTCTTGCTTGTATACCTGAATATACACCACTCATAGAAGCAGCACAATTTTACCCTTGCATGTGACATTTCATTACGTCTATTCCTTTTTCTTCAACAGAATTAACAATTTCATTTTCAAGACCAGCTGCACTTTGATTGGTTATTTGGCAAAATCCAAGAAATTATCTATTTATTGTGAGATCATTCGAAATAAATTTATCATTACATCTTTTACTTGATGGCTAAGATATTTACTCAAGCTTCATCATAGGTCTACCAAAGTGCTGTACATAGGGTTGTGGCCAGTTCAACCAAAGAGAATACATGAAAATCACTATGCAACGTTTCCGGGTGAAAATGTATGACTGAAATTATCAGTGAATAGTAAGCCTTCACGAGTTTTGTTCAAATCAGGCATTTAGAAACCACATTGATGATTTCAAGTAATTGAGCTTGAAATAAAGTTAAGAATACAAATTAAAATTTTATAACTTGGAAGCTACTGTTCATTCATTGGGTTTTTGCCGAGAAAATTAATTTTTTATAGTTCTTTATAATATCTAAATATCAATATCTCAAAGCAACTAGACATCCATGTCTAGAAGACTGGTCCTTACTGGAAATGAAGAACAGTAAATTTCTAATTGTTATTTATTGGAACTGAAAAATAGCAATTTGCCAGCTGTACCTAGGAGTCATGTAGCTACCTTGCTCCATGGTGCCACCAGCAGTAGTTTCCAAGATGTTGCCCTGAAATGTGCTGATAAACTAACATTTTCCTTGACTACCAGAAGGAATACATGAGTTACATTGAGGAATCATGAGAACACAGGTTTACTGGAAGCTGTCTGTTTTTCAGTTCCAATAAGAAATAGCTGGCAACTCTCTTCTTCAATTCCAATAAGTAACAGCTTGCAGCTTGCTGTTCTTCACTTCTATCGGAATTGACAGAGAAACTCATGTAATGGCAGACAGAATTTGTTCAAAATGTAGAAGATGAGTTACATAGTTTTATGTCACAAGTTTTTCAAAATTCCCTTAGTTTTTGCTTGTTCCTGAATTACCAGATTTTTGCTGCATTTGAATTAGAATGAATACAAATATCAAATTATTTGTGCATTGCTTTGGTGGCTTCTGGTATGTGTGGGGCCCACCTTTTTCCGTGCCCTTTTTTGGGCTTTATTACTCGCTGCTCCATGATCTCATCAACTGCACATAAATTTTTTAGCTTCAATGGGATGTTGCTATAAACTTAGTAAAGTTGCATTATTTTCATGGCATCACAAATGCAAGCTCAAGTCTAGTACGAAAGCAGTGAACAGTGATTAACTATAGTATCTACTTTCTAATAAGAACAGAAAAACCAGCCTTTCCCCCATGTCTTAATTAGTACCATACCTTAGCTTCAAAATAGGTTGAAGCCCCATTGTCTCCACTGTAATGAGCAGTAACTTCTTTAAGCCTTGGATGGTTCCATCTGAAATAACTTTGAAATGGAGAAATGAGGCCTTCACATTCTCATGCTTGTTCACACACTCAGTGACCTTATAGACTGGGCTTCCTTCAGTCAAAACAAAATAGCTTGCTTTGGCTAAGTGATCCAGTCTCTTTCCATATATACATATATATATATTGTTACATATCTGCTTGTTTGTTAATTTCCGGTAGAACTTCAGCAATACAAGTACTTTCTTGAATAAAACTAGTTTATCGTTTCTCGTCGATTTACTTAACAACCTTTATAACACAAGTTATAAATCACAGTGATTCACACCCTTTACTTACGGTGCCTACTGTTTGCTTGACTTAATTATCTATCTCTTCTGATCTTGCTGGTTTTTCTTGCCAGGCTTATATACTAAAAAGAGGGTGTCTACAATGCACTCGAACGCACTTGATTCTTCGAGAAACTACAGTGTGCATGATCCCAGCGTCGCGTTACTTCCACTGTCATAACAATATAGTCAACTCCTGGGTCTTGACATCTGTGGCATAAATAGCACTGATACTTATAACTCCCTTTTGTTTTTTCTCCATTGTGCTGGAATCATTTTGAAACATGTTGCTTATAAGTGTACCCTACAGAGGAAAGGGCTTTGTCTGAAAACATAAAATGGGGTTATTGTGCTGAAACGTACATAACATTGTCATGTATTTTTAAAAATATAATCAGTCACTAAAGATTCTACATTCTTTAAAATATGATATTTAGAAACGTAAACGGATGCTATATTGATTAAAAAATTTCTGGTTGTTTTACACATCCATAGTTTGATATGTGATTGCCATTGCAAAATATTGACTTGTATTACTAAGAGTGTAACCAGTTGATGATGTTTAGAACTATATATATATATATATATACATATATATATAATTCTCAAAGTCAGTCAATTTCTCACCTAAGTTTGAATGTACTTTTCTATTAGGGTGCTTTGCTAAATATTTTTTTGGTCAATCCATACAGTCTGCAGATGTGTTTCATTTTAAATGTTCTTTATCATATTGTTTAGCCATTGTAAGGACAAAATAATTCCTGATCAGTGTTCCCTCTAAGCTGCATGGCTGCACAACAATCAATCAAGTGCTGTGCACTTAATTATTTATGCCATGCACATCCTCAGTAACATTGAGGAGTCTCAACATGTTGATGGCCTTAATGACCTTGGCAGTTGATAAGCCTAAAGCCCAAATAACCAACTGGTAGCATTGAAAGTGGCCTTATGATCCAATAGGGGGTCGATGATCTAAGAATACCAGTAGTGCACATCAGAACATTGCCTTGATACTGATGCACATAAAACAATTCATTTTGCACATGGATTGAAAAAATTAGAGGGAACATTGATCCTGATAATCTTTAGCTGTGATTCATATTTATTGCACTGTAGTCACAATGACTGCATTTTTCCTTTCTCCAATAAACAAGCCATTTTCCAGCTAGATCAGTTGCTTGTTCCTATATAAACCTTTATACTTTGACAGAGAGTAACATTTCATAAGTACATGTACACAACAAGTAATTAACAAAAGAACATCATCTACCTGAAAGCTGAAAACTGCTTACTTATGGCTTACTTTCTGTCACTTTTGATGAATTAATGGCTTACTTTCTGTCATTTTGATGAACTTATGGCTTAATTTCTGTCATTTTGATGAACTTATGGCTTATATTGGCTGTAGTCACTAATTAAATGTTCTGTTGTATTGGCTGTAGTCACTAATCAAAAGCTCTGTTGTTTTGTCTGCAATCACTAATCAAATGCACTAATGTATTGACTGCAGTTAATAACCAAATGCACTGACACATTGTTCATAGTTGCTAATCAAGTAATTGATAGTAAATAAGCCATTAATTCATGCAAATGATAGAAAGTAAGTTATTAATTCATCAAAGTGACAGAAAGTGAGCCATGAGTTCATCAAAATGACAGAAAGTGAGCCATAAGTGCATCAAAATGACAGAAAGTAAGCCATTAATTTATCAAACTGACAGAGGGTAAGCCATTAAGTCATGAAACTGACACAGAGTTAGCCATTAAGTCATCAAACTGACACAGAGTAAGCCATTAATACATGAAAATGATAGAAAGTAAGCCATTAATTCATCAAAGTGACAGAAAGTAAGCCATTAATTCATCAAAGTGACAGAAAGTAAGCCATAAGATCATCAAAGTGACAGAAAGTAAGCCATAAGATCATCAAAATGACAGTAAGTAAGCCATAAGTTCATCAAAATGACAGAAACAACAGAACATTTAATTAGTGACTACAGCCAATACAACATAGCTTTTGATTAGTGACTACAGTCAATACAACAGAGCATTTGGTTAGTGACTACAGCCAATACAACAGAGCTTTTGATTAGTGACTACAGCCAATACAACAGAGCATTTGGTTAGTGACTACAGCCAATACAACATAGCTTTTGATTAGTGACTACAGTCAATACAACAAAGCATTTGGTTAGTGACTACAGCCAATACAACAGAGCTTTTGATTAGTGACTACAGCCAATACAACAGAGCATTTGGTTAGTGATTACAGCCAATACAACAGAGCATTTGGTTAGTGACTACAGTCAATACAACAGAGCATTTGGTTATTAACTACAGTCAATACAACAGAGCATTTGGTTATTAACTACAGTCAATACAACTGAGCATTTGGTTAGTGACTACAGCCAATACAACAGAGCATTTGGTTAGTGACTACAGTCAATACAACAGATAATTTGGTTATTAACTACAGTCAATACAGCAGAGCATTTGGTTATTAACTACAGTCAATACAACTGAGCATTTGGTTAGTGACTACAGCCAATACAACATAGCTTTTGATTAGTGACTACAGTCAATACAACAGAGCATTTGGTTATTAACTACAGTCAATACAACAGAGCATTTGGTTATTAACTACAGTCAATACAACAGAGCATTTGGTTAGTGACTACAGTCAATAAACAGAGCATTTGGTTATTAACTACAGTCAATACAACAGAGTATTTGGTTATGAACTACAGTCAATACATTAGTGCACTTGGCTAGTGACTGCAGACAATACAATAGTGCATTTGGTTAGCAAATATGCATTAGATACTGCAACAGTTGTTAAATTGAATCTTGTAACAGCAAAACTAAATAATATGTACTTTTTTTTAAACAGTGAAAGATTTAAGACTGTAAAATCAATATCCTGTATGTGAGATTATCTATAAAAAAGAAGTCATTTGAAACGAATTGATGTTATTTGAACATAGTCAGTTCTTTAAAGTAAGATCTGATTTTTAGTACATATTCAGGTCTAATGATATACATGTAAAAGACCCCAAATATTAATTTATAATTCTTCATCTTTCAAAATGGTGGAAGTATATGTATCTATTTAATGATCCAAGAGGTTTAATTTTTTTCTTCTAGGAAAAACAGAAATGGCAAAGCAAGTGGCTAATTACCTTCATAAAGGAAATGCAAAGGTTAGTGATATTTTAAGATGTATTTTTTCAAAGATGATTACGTGAACATATAAAGATAAGAGATACATAATGTTTATAGTCTTGGATGGACAGGAAGAATATAATTTGATACACTGTTGAAAATCTTCAGACATTTTGTATTAATTGAAGGCTTTATTTAATAAGACATTAATAATGTTTATGGTCCTAGATGGACAGGATAGATATAATTTGATATACTGTTACCCTAAACCCTTCTCCTTTTGTTTTCTTTAATCATCTTGGGTCTTTCATACTGAACTATTGTCTTAGATGTGTCCACGTTTTCACATATGCCTAGAAAAACATCACTTTAAAATCTTAGTCTTTGTTCTTTCCATATTACTACCATTTTTTTTTTTCGTACTTGTACATCCATTTGTAGTTGGATGTCTGTTTTTTTTCTTGTGATGTGTGATTTTTATTAGTGAAAGAAAAGAAAATACTAAATCATTTAAAGACAATGGCTTTTATATTACTATTTGTTTTTTATATGATTTATTTTTGATGCACAATTAAGCATCTTGAAGTGTTACACACAGTGTTTTCTAGTGTTCTGCTGAGATGTTTTCTACTCTCATCATTACCAATTACATTTTGGATTACTTGACTAGCCCTATTCATTAAATAATTCCATCTTTGTCAAACAGTTATCTCACTATTCACATGTGACCTTCTCAAAAAAAAAAAAATGGTTACTGTAAACAACACCTGTAACATTATCATAAAACTCAGTAGAAATGTGATCATAAACTGTTTGATGATAAAATGAATTGATCTTATCTGATATAGTGGTTTCTGTAAACAACACTTGTAACATCATAAAACTCGGCTTGAAATCTGATCATAAAACAAGATATGATGATCTGTATATTTTGAAATGAAGAATAATGAGTGATAAAGAACTTGGAATTGGGTCATGCCAAGTGACTAACAATTACTGAAAACTATGGACTGACTGCCTGGAAATGTATGAAGTACTTTGTATACATATTGTCCTATGTTATGAAATACACAATCTTATAGTAACACATTAACCTATAATTAAAGCTGAGTTGAAAACTGTAATGGATTGCACTTGCCTTATTTCATGAATGCTAAATCATACCTGTCTTGAGTTGAAAAAGGCCTACAATACCTATGCTGACTGAAATACAAGTGAAATAGAAGTATATATAAAGATATGACAATTAGGTCATTATAAAAAGTTTGTGGAACTTTATTCAAAAGTATGTATTTTGCCAGACTATTAACTTTAAAAAATTCTCCACTAAGTTGAACATTTCAGCTAATCATATTGGTGTAACAAAATGTAAGTTATCCATTTGGTTTCTTAATCACTTGGTCCACAGTGTTACTAATGTATTACAAGTAGATTTGTAATTGTTAACACTACAAAATATTACTGTTTATTTATAGAGTTTCATCAGACTAGACATGTCTGAATACCAGGGAAAACATGAGGTAAGTTTTAAGTAACATCTGAATGAAATATCATAAAGAAAATATGTTGCATGGTACTGATTAATGTGATTACGTTGTTATATATGGATGTTGTCAAGTGAATAAGTGTTTATATGCATGGTACTAATGAATCTTATTACATTGTTATATATCTATATTGTTATGTCAATGTGTGTTTATATACATGTGGATGAATATCATAAGAAAAAAGGTTGCTTGGTACTAATGATTCAGATTACATTGTTATATGTATATATTGTTGTTTTAACCCTTTCGAGATGGGTCACGGATGAAAGGCCATGTCATCTTGTTTGTTGAATCGCATTCAAAATTTTATTGAATTACTGTTTCATGAATTTATGTCAATAACTTTGGTATCAAACTGTAGATTATAATTCAAATTTTAGTACTATACATTACTCAATTTGTTAATTTAAAACAAACACAGATAAACATCGATTTTTGTGTGTTATGTGGTGTATTGAATGCATCACTGGTTCAAATTAGATGTTTCTGAAGTCAAAGTACTAAGTCTATAGTTTCATACAAATTAGAAAGTCAAATTACCAATATTGACAAGCTAGAATATAAAATAAGAATGTCTCATGTTTTCTATTTGCTAAGATATTGCTCATGTAATAAATAACACACAGTGACACCCCACCTGCTACTTTCCATTTTTCAGAAATGCTCCTTTACATACGCTTACTTTTATATATGACATGAATAACCAATCGAAAGCTCAGAATGTACCCCTAGCAGCTTTTTCATCTATTTTAACGTGCTTGATGCCATTTCTTTCTTTTGAACCAATATTTCAAGGAGGTAGGGTTTGTCTTTAGTCTGCTCAAAATTTCATAGTTTTTTGACACTAAAATACATCTTAGTTACTAAGCATGATAAATTATAGTGGAATTCTATGGTATTAATGTAGTAATTTATGATTTTTTGGCTATTCAAATGTATATATAAAACCTAAAAAAAGTGTTTTGTTTCATATCCTCCACGGACAAATTTTTTAAAGGCTTAGCAACCTACATAAAGCAACGACTGAGTATAAAGGTTGTAACTAGAAGAGATAATTGTTTGCTTTACTTCTATATTTACTGTTCTATGTTTTAAGAAAAATATGTTTAAG